AGATTGGTGGAGTGAAGCAGCTCTTTTAATATCACTTTTACAAGAACAGATGTCTCTCTGGTGAGCAGGCACACCGAAATGGTTACAGCAAGCATATTCATGTGCTAGTGCATAGGTCCCTCCTCTGATTCCTCATTGACCAGGTATTACAGAGGTTACAACCCTTTCCTGGATGTCACCTAAGCAATTTTTGTACAAATAAGGTAAAGTACATGTTTCTGGGTTTTGACTGGATTTCAGTATCCACTGTGGGAAGCCCACCATTTTTCAAATAAAGCCCACCAAAAGAAAAACCCGCCGAGAGGCGAAGAAGAACCAGGAAATGGAGTGGTGAATCACCTTTTTTTTTTTTCTCACAGAAAGGGAGGTACAGAAGGAAACAGGCTTAGACAGGGAAGGGGTTATAACTTGTCCTCAAACTGAGGGGAAGGGAAAAGCAACAAGTACCTCAGTGTGTTGGTGAAGGAAGTGCATCTCCCTGCAGGGAAGCAGAGAGCCTGGGGTCAGCTAGAACCTCCACAGTCAAGGCTGAAAGTGCAGGAGGCTTATGGAGAGCGATGCCTCTGGTGGCAAAAGGGGGAACAAGCAGGCTTCTGAGGGAAAGTCTTCAGGCCCTCATGCAAACATGTGACAGCTGCAAAGGGAAAGGAGGAAGGAAGGGAAACAGGATATGGCAGGGAGAACCTCGACTCATGCAGGGTGACCACCTGGGGCAGCCCAACAGAGATTCAGGACACAGCCTGCCCATGAGAGCAGCCCTAAAGTGGGTAGAATGCCAACCTTGTGCTGCGGGTGGATGAACAGAAAGTTCTTCCTAAAAGCTTATCAGATAGTGCCCCTTTGTGTCTGCCCCACACCTGGTCATCTGTCTATAGAAGAGCAGTAGGGATGTGAAGAGAGCAGGAAAGATTGGAATCATTATTGAGATTGTGACTAACTCAGAGGTGATAGTGATGACTGGAAGGGTTAGTATCCAGCTGAGCTTAGAGACTCTACCCTTGGCTCTGCTTTTTTCTGGTGGTTCTTAGTGGTCAAAGTTTTGATGTAGAGGAGGTAGTTTCTGCATGAAATCAACTTGGGCATTTGCCAAGCTGAGGTAGAGAGCAGTTGTGCAAGGGAAGCCTCTTAGTGGAAGTTAGAGCACAGAGGATGGATAATTTCTCAGTGGCTTATTGAAGAAGGGACCCCCAAGGTAGAGGGGAAGTTGGAAGAGATCACTCTATAATCCTCTTTCAACTTGACAGCAGAAGAATCTGATATCAGCAAATTCTAATGCAAAAAAATAGGTGTATTTCATAGAAACAGATGTGAAGAATATGATTACGGATTAAGACCATAAACCCAGTCTTCCACTTGACACAGGATTTAGGTAATTTGTTTTTGCTACTAAGTTCCATTGAGTAAACTTGCCCTTATAGCTGACATATTATTGTGCCTTTAAAAAAATGCAAATAGATAATGGTTGTAATAACATTTCAACAATAATCAACTAGTTGGCCCTCCTAAGTGAAAGGTTAAAAGCACACACATGATATACATCTATACATCCACATCTGTATGTTGTGGATGTGCATACACATATTATATTGTGTAATCAAATTAATTATCTACCAGTTTATCACCAAATAAGCCAGCATTTATTGAATATCTACTAGGTATTTTCTGTGCTACTTGTTTTCACATATGGTAGATTACTAAGTCCTACCCTAAAAGGCAAGCATTATTATTATTATTTCATACACAAGGTAACACACTTAGATTAAGTTACTTTATTGCCCAAAGCTCTACACTAGTTCCTGGCAGAATCCAGCATTCAGTTTACAACTTCTTGGAGTTCTTTTCACGACTTCACAGCTTCTTCCCCTTGAGGGACTCCTTGGTGTTTTCTTAAGACTGATTGCTACAACTCACTTCTGGCATCTTAGAGTCATTTGTTTAACTTAAAGAGACAGAGGGAGATTGAGAGGCTGACCAATTCACTAGCTTGCAAAAAAGAAAATAAGGACCCCTTTAGAGTATGTTAGAGTATATCAGTTAATATGTGCTGTTTCTTTTTATTTTAATGGCCATTCTAGACAAGGAAGGCAGCTATTATTCCCATTCCTCAGGAGAAGAAACTAAAACTCAGAGAGTTGCACAAGTCATGTGATCTGAATGTCACGTTGGAACTAGAAAGTCAACTTTTGATTCCTAGTTGCAGTTCTTCCCATTGCTGCCATATGCCATGGAGACTCCTGTAACATGTTGATAGTGAGGAGAGGTAAATGCATCTTAGCTTTAGGGAAAAAACTAAGTTTCCATGTATAAAAATGAGTAAAGGTAATAAAATTGGAATTCATGAATTGGTTGTGTATGAACCCTGATTTTCAAACAATCTTGTGAGATGCTTCATCCAATTGGAGATACTGTTTCCAGTTAGCATTGATGGGAATGTACACTTGTCAGAACAAAGAGAGGTTAATCCCTTGCTGTTTCTGAATATCTTAGATACCTATTAGAAATTACATTCTAACAAAGTGCATTTCAATATTAAGTAAGGCTATAGAATTTGAATATTTCTTTCTGATCTCCTACTCTGTCCTCTGTGCTCAGAAAATTCCAAATAAACCCAGGCCAAGTGATTTTGTTAGATTCATCTCTAAATTTGCAAAGGGATCTTTGCTGAGAGCCCCCTCCACAACCCATCTATATTTATTCATTTATTTGATTATTCAGATGCACATATTAAGCGCCTATGTTATGCTAGATGGAAGTCATCTTGTTTTTCAGTTCCTAAAATCAAGATCACAGTATGTTGGAGGGGAAATTATCTAACTTTTCATTCCTGTATATGACAATTTTTATAACCAATGAGATACAAGCTATAGAATTCTTTTTTTTAAAAAACTTTATTTTGAATAATTTTATACTTAAAGAAAAGTTACAAAAATAGTGCAAAAATTTTTTTGTATTTCTCATGTCACTTCACCTAATGTTGGCATATTTTATAACCTTATGCTAATAATCAAGATTAGGACATTAACACTGGTACAATATTCTTAATTCATTTCCATGCCTTATTTGAATTCAACCACCGCCCTTTCTCTGTGCCAATACCCCATATTGCCTTTCTTTCTCCTTAGTGCCCTTTAATCTATAACATCTCTTCCATCTTTACCATCTTTTGTGAACTTGCACTGTTGAAGAAGACTTATAAACTTCTGTTTTTTCAACAAACTCTTACTTTTTTTAGTATTTCATTACTTTCTGGCCCATAAGATGTTCCAGGCTCCTTCTGTATTTTCCCTGTCTCATACCAGATATAATTACTTTTTCTAGGAGCCCTATTTCCTTTTATTGGATAGTGGTGTTTAGAGACCAAAATCTGGATGCTAACTGTGCTCATTGCTGAGGTGTCATTGTTTTTTGTCTTTTGTAACCATAATTTTTAAAAGTTATTTATATGTTAGGAATATTTGACCATTTTCCTTGGCATATGTTACGAATATTTTCTTCCAGTTTGTCACTTGTCTTTTGTTTATGATATTTCTTATTATGCAAAAGGTCCAATTTATTAATCTTTTATTTTATGATTTCTGAATTTTTGCATCATCATAGCCTTTTTCTACACCAAGATTCAAGAGTAATTCATGCATGTTTATGAAAATAGTTTGAAACATTCAAAACATACAAATGGTAGAGTTTCTTTAAAATTCATTTAGAACTTGCAGTGTTGAGACTCCCTTATGTCTTCTCATTGCCCCAAGCAGTTGCCTTCCCAGCTTATTCCTAATTATCATTGTCTTCTCTTATTATGTCCTTCCACCCTCAGGCTTCCTGGGCTTCTCCAACCCCAGGTATTTCACCTACAACAATGCTGCAGCATTATGAACTCTCTCACCTTCCCTAACTCTTCTCACTCTAGATGTATTTCCTGGTTTCTTTTCAGGGAGTATCATTCAGCAATTACTTTATTTTCTACCGATTCAATCCCTGAATCCTCATATCCTTACCCACTTCACCTTCTTTCCTTTCTGTCCTCATCTCCTTTGTTCATACAACCCAGGAGATTCAGCAACTTCCTTTTTCAAAGAGCACTTGATCAACCATTTTCTTTCATTCCCAACCATGTCTTCAGCATAAGAAATATCATAGTCAAGTGACAGGGTGCTCACCCAAAGAGTATGGCCAAGTCAGCAGAATACAGATATAATTTATGTGGAGTGGCAGCATGCACAAGATGAAAATCAATGTTTTCTATACGTTGATGACAGCAGTAGCTACAAAATATACTGAAATATTTAATACTTGCAAAAGTATTCGACTTTTTCCATTTTTTTTTCATTTTTCTCACTATAACCTTTATTCATTATGACCTTTAAGTAGTTGGATAGGATTTTGTTGAGGTGGTATTTTGCATATCAATACATTAGAAATGAAAATATACATGATGTTTGAAAGGAAATAAGTTTTTAAATTTATCCTTCTCTCTCTCTCTCTCTCTCTCTCTCTCTCTCTCTCTCTCTCTTTCTCTCTCTCTCTCTCTCTCAACTTGCATCTATCAACACAAACCAAAAGATATCTGTTCTGAGGCCATTGGTTTTGTAAGGTCAGAATGACCTGGCATTATGCTTAGAAAAAAGAAAAACTGACTCCTAAGGGAACTAAAGATAGAGATATAACTTTGGAGATTTATTACTGCATGGCTGTGCATTTTAATTTTTAATTTCCACTGTTCTGGATATTTAAAGAATTGATCTAGAGACCTCTCTGCATGTTCTCTCTTAATGAATATTTACTATTTGGGTTATTTCAGCTTCATATAAATTATATACATCTGAAGAAATCTAATAGAGACTTAATGAGACATATTATTTAATAACACAAAGAGGCAAGCTCCCAAAATTGATGCAATTGAAGGAGAAAGAAGTTAAGTTATAGGCAGAGGATAAAATCATGCATCTTAAATTCTTGATTCCTAACATTTTGCTTTGTTTTTGTTTGTTTGTTCATTTTTTCAGGGATCCTCAGAGTCTGGACCCACCTGAAGTCAGCAATGCAAAACTTCAGTATGCAGGATGGGGCCCAAAAGGCCAACAGCTGGTAAGCCAATCATGTTCAGTGACCATATTTGGATTTTGATGAAGTTTATATTTTCCAACATGAGTGGATCTCATAGTCCTTAGCCTGTATGTGGCATGTGTTTGTGTGTGTGTGTAAATTAAATTTTGGACAGGTACTCCAGCGTATCTGAATATGTAAAATGGCCATGTCTTTTTAGATTCCATTTAAATTCTTATGAAATGGAACAGTGGAACACTATATGCTTTGGTTCCCATATCTGGTATGCTTCAAGTTGTAGCTAACTGTAGCTGTATCATATAGACTCCATATTTGCTGTGAACTCAAAGAGATAAACTTCATCAAAAGGTCTGCAGATGGGAGTTATCAGAATCATGGAGACATTGAAAGTTCCTCTCAAAACTCAGACTCCTTTCTGTGGAGGGTTTTATAAAGAAAAGCAGATTTACTGGCTAATATGGAGCCAGCCTTCTGCAAGTCACATCAACATGCAAAATTTGCTGTAGCTGTTGCAGCTTTCTGAGTTTTACATCAAACATCTTCATTCCAACTCAAATTGGCGAAACTGAGGTGATTTGGTGAATGGTAAGGATGGTGTGGAGATAAGGGCCCTGAACAATAGTTCTGAGATGAGGGCTCCAACCCTGATACTCACTCACGAACTGACCCAGGGCAGCACATTCAGCTGTCACACAATCAGCTAGTTGACCCAGCTATTAAGTGAAGGACTTGGATAACACGATCACTCAGGTTTGTTCCAACTCTAGCATTACATTTGTCTAAAACCTAATGATATCTGTCAGTTCTGTTAAGCTTTTATTCAAGAGATGATATCACCCCTTGCAGAAGGTTCTTCATATTCAAAGATCAGAAGACATGGTGATTGTATTTAAGTCACCATTCTTCCCGCATCTTTATGCTGATGAACTAAACCTGCATTTTTAAAGATCTCTTTGCCTAAAAGAGTACAGAGAATGATCATATGTAAAAGCTTGGGTAGGATTGTGTTGATAGACTGCCTACTGTCTTACAAATGAAAATAGTCTTATTTCTCCCCATAGTACAATTATATTTTCTTGGTTACATATTATTTCCATTGCCTCAAATTGGTTTAACAAAACAGAAGTATATTGGCCATGAAACTATTTTAGTATTATTAAAGTGTCTCTAATGCTACAAACTGATTACAGAGATTTCAATAAGTACATGTAACTGATCACAATCTCAGTGTGATAAGAGGAAATCAGAAAGGTAAGAGCTGCTTTGGCAGAGGGACACCAATCCATCAACTCAGTCACAACAAGGAGATAAACTGTATCTTTCCTCAAAGGCATTAGGTCTTACACAAGGGAAAAAATGCAATTTAATAGGAGACTGTAGAAGAACTAAGTGTTTAAGACTGGTGTGACTGAATCTCTAACAGTTGACCTTAAAACCCTCTGAAAGTCTTTGATTAAAGGGGTTTCCTAATCCATCAAATGGCCATCACACTGCTGTAGACAACTTTCTCAGCCTTCTGCTGAGCTGTGACAGCCCAGTGCCCACAGCTTTGTACCCTGGCCTCATCACACAGGTGGAGGGGAGAGGATGAGAATGTATAACCTTACTAAGTGGTCATGACCTTTTTATAGTCATCAGGAAAAGAACATTAAAATGTGATCACTTGTCAAGTTCTCTTTTTAGCACACCTGTTGTCTCTGTTTTTATCATTCAATGATCATCACTAAGCATGTAGATTTCTGCCTCACCATCTGCATATGGAGATATGCCAAGCACTGTAGTAGGGTTAGTACCTCACCGTCCTGCCTTCTGGGAAGAACTTGCAACATAGAGGAAAATTAACCCACAATTGCAAAAGGAAGAGTTGTGCACACACACGCATATACACATGCACTTTAGAGTTAAGTCTAGCATTGTCCTCTTGGACAATTGACTTTACACCCATGTTATGTTCCTTTGGAGACAGGGATGGGATAAGTGATTAGAGAAGTTATCGTGTTTAACCTTTTAAAGAATAAGTAGCAACAAAACAACATAAGCAGCAATTTATCAGAGAAACCTTCCTGACACCTCTACCCCCAACACACATACATACACACTGTTAAGTAGACACTCCCAGATCTCACCACACAATTTTCTATTACACATGATCTCCTGCTGCCTGGAGACATGTCCCGTTCCTTAGTTAAGTGGTCTTTAAGTCTAGGAAGTCAGCCCTTTTCATCTTCATATTCTAACGTACCAAGCACAATGTCTGATGCTCAGTAAACATTTGTTGAGGCTAAAAAAAAGAAGAAAGAATGAATGAACAGATTGATTAATTAATTAGTTAATATATTCTTGTGGTCTCAAACTACTTCACATGAAATAATTGAATGAAGCCAAATAGCTGAATCTATGAATATGTTCTAGGACAGTACTAGAGGTGAGGGAAAGTTGACTTTCTGCTTCAAGGAAATGAATGTGCAGTTAAGTATTAATTGCTAATACTTGGGTTTAGTACCAAAGGCATTAATATGCTCATGGATTGTTGAGTTTTAAAACTCATTTGACCTTTAAGATTTTCATCATACATGCTTGTACTGAGTCTAAGAGGCAATATAACTCATTGTTGAGAGCATGCTCTATATGCTGGAGCAGGGTCTGGCTTTTTCTTAGAGAGCCAGGTAGTACATGTTTCAGCCTTAGCAGGCAGATGGTTTCATACACACACACACACACACACACACACACACACACAGTGCCAAAAAATGTATACACATTTTAAGCAAGGAATAAACTGTATTAAAATTAAAATACTCAATGTATATCAATAACAGAAGATGAATACAAGTCACAGTTGACTTCCACAGTTACAGGAGGTGCTCCAAGTGGTTACCATCAGCATCCAGACACATCTAATTATGATTAACTAAAAGTAATACGTAGATAACACCTTTTAAAATGTTTACATTTTTTTACATGTTTACATTTTTACATGTTTACATTTTTTTACATGTTTACTTTTTTTACATGTTTACATGTTTACTTTTTTTAGCACCTCCAGCATACACACACACATGTGTGTATAAATTACATATATGTGTATACATATATATATACACACATTTTTTTCTAAGATGAGGGCTCCAACCCTGATACTGACTCATGAACTGACCTTGGATAGCACAGTGAGTTGTCATGCAATCAGCTGGCTGGCCCAGCTGTTAAGTGAAAGATTTGAATAACATGATCTCCATACATATATATGTAAAATTACATACATATATATGTAAAATACATATGTAATTTTTTTTTTTAGTTGGAGTCTTACACTGTTGCCCAGGCTGGAGTGTAGTAGCATTATCATGGCTCACCTCAGTGAAAGACTGTGGGAGACTTCCTGGCTCAGACAATCCTTCCACCTCAGCTTCCCGAGTAGGTCACACTACTGGCATGTGCCACCATGCCTGTCTTATTTTTTGTAGAAATGAGGTGTCACTATATTGCCCAGACTGGTCTTGAACCCCTTGACTCAAGCAATCTTCTTGCCTTGACCTCCCAAAGTGCTAGGATTATAGGTTGAGTCACCACACCATGCAGGCCAGGTGTTTCCATCACAACTCCTTGCTTCTGCTGTTGCAGCGTGAAAGCAGCTGTAGGCAATTTAAAAAAACATGGGCATGATTGTGTTCCAATCAAACCTTATTTACCAATACAAGTGTTTGCTGGTCTCTGCTTTAGGGGATCAGATGCTCTCTTGGTTGTCTTCAACTGAGGAAAGCCTGACCCCAGACCACCACCTAATGACAGGTACTCCCATGCCTACTCTACCTATCTGCACAGGAAACCTGCAAATCAGGAGTAGGCCTTGCAAACACTAACCTATTAAGTGACAGTAAGCAACAAATCCCTCATTGCCATTTTATTTTAAAAAGTAAATATTGCTCCCTAAAGTAAACCTACTTAATTATAATGAGTCAAATGGAAGTGAGTAATTCTCCTTTGGGAGCAGAGAACACAGCTGCAGTAAGTTCACCAAAGAGCTTTCAGAGCATCCTAGCCTGTGCCAAGGGATTTCAGTGATGCCCCGTACATGAAAGGAAGATGACACAGGGTACCAGGCATGGGCTAGCAGTATTCTTCCAAATGCCTCTGTGTAGTCTTTCATTGCAGCTCTTACCTTTTAGAGTAAGTTTGAGCAGAACTTCAGAACATATTCTCAGTAATGACTGCCCAAGTGATTGTCGGAGGAGAGGGAGAGATGAGGTGGAAGTTCCCTGTTCTTCCAGAAGCAGCTTCAGTGGTGGTGCTGTTCTGGGGTTGTAGTTGTTCACAATGAAAAACCACATTGCTTCCAAAATGCTTTCTAAGGGTCCAGAATGTGAACTAGGAGGTGGATCTGGCCAGATTGCACAGGGTTAAAAGAGAAAATAGTGTAAAATCTTAAAATCTCTCCCTTACATCCTCTTTCTTTTTTTTTATAATCAATATTTTTTATTATGATATTGTGGGGTACAGTTAAGGGTTAGGTATACAAATACATTTCGTTCAGGCACCCTTGTTGATAAGAGGTATTTCCCCGTCCCAAGACAGATATTTACTACCGTTAATCTCATCTCCCCCCCCCCCCATAGTTTCCCACTACTGTCAGTCATTTTCTTATAGTATTACATTGGATGTTCAAGGTCCACTATATGAGTGAGAACATGTGATACTCGGATCTTTGTTTCTGTGAAAGGTCACTCAGTATCATAGACTCTAGTTCCATCCAGGTTGCTGCGAAATTCATGATTTTGTTCTTTTTTTATGGCTGTGTAGTATTCCATCGTGTATATGTACCACAAGGGAGACAGCCTACAGACTGGGAAAAAGTATTTGCCAACACCGGGTCTGACAAAGGCTTAACATCTTTGATCTACAAGGAACTCAATTGTGCTGAAAAGAAAAAAACAAACAACCCCATTATAAAATGGGCAAAAGATATGAACAGACACTTCACAAAGGAAGACATCCGAGCAGCCAACAGACACATGAAGAAATGTTCAACCTCACTAATCATCAGGAAGATACAAATCAAAACCACACTGAGATACCACCTAACTCCAGGCAGAATGGCAATTATCAACAACTCAAAAAATAACAGCTGCTGAAGAGGGTGTGGCGGAAAGGGAACACTTCTGCACTGTTGGTGGGAGTGTAAACTAGTGCAACCTCTGTGGAAAGCAGTGTGGTGATTCCTAAAAGCTCTAAATATCAACCTCCCATATGACCCTGCAATCCCCCTACTGGGAATATATCTTGAAGAACTCAAGTCACTCTATAAAAAAGATACCTGCACACGTATATTTATTGCAGCATTGTTCACAATAGCAAGAACCTGGAAGCAACCATTCTGCCCATCAAAAGAGGACATCCTCTTTCTTCAAACAGTAATTGTCAGTAAACATAAAGATTTAAATTCAAAACATATGTTATCTTACAATATTTTCTTACAATAATTCTTACAATAAACTCTTACAGTATTTCTCTGCACTGCGTCTTTCTCCATTTTTGTCCTCTTCAGATGAGTCTCTGCCTAAATTGAGAACTCTCTCATGTTTCTGTTCTTTGATCTTTTTCATGAAGGCCTGCCCCGGCCCATGTGTTTTTCTCTTTATTGGGTTGATGCATAAGTTCATAATGTTTGCTTTTGACATGACAACACTGCAGTGTTGGGAGTTTGTTTGCCATTTGTCATTTGGAGTGACAGTGTTGTGCTTGTGAATACGCCCCGCATCTTGCAGATTTGAAGAAGATGGAGTGTCAAGAGGAAAAAAAAAAACAAAGACTTCCAACAAATTCTTCAATTTGAGTTTAACAGAGGAGTAAAGGCAGCAAGGTGGCTTGAAACATTTGTGCCATGTATAGGAAGAATGCCATCAGGGAAAGCACAGGGAGAATACCATTGGGAAAGCAAGGCAAAAAAATGGTTTTGCAATTTCAAAGTGGGCCACTATGACCTCAGTGATTCTTCACATTCAGGAAGACCCTTGGGCTTTGATGAAGATTATTTAAACACCCTAATCCGTGATGATCCACATCAGTCAACCCAAGAACTGGCAAATGTGATGAACTGTGACCAACCATCGTGTGACATTTGCATTCCATGGGCAGGTGAAAGATTGCTATGAACTTATGCATCAATCTAATATGTGAGGTTTTGTCTCTGCTAACCTAGAAAATGATTAAATCTCCTGGATTAGAAATATCCATTTATTTCCCTATATGTTATTTCTGCAAGAGACATTTAATAAAAGCACACAAACTTTGAAAGCAACTGCAGTGGCCTTCTTAATTCTTAGGACACACGCTTGGAGTTCAAGTTGTTTCAGGATGCATTAGCAGGTTCATATGTGAGCATAGTATACTTATGTGAATTTGTTGCAAGACAATGTTTTCCTCTGGAAATGAGTGCTGTGAAAATTTTTGCAAATGAGACTATGCAGCATTAGACAACATTAAGAATTCAAAGCTGAAGTCTGCTAGTACTCGGAAGATCAGAGACAAAGAGAATGGGTCTCTCTTTGGTT